GCCTTGCCCCCCCCCCCCCCCCCCGCCGTCTCCTCGACGAAGTGGGAGAATGTATGAATGTAGAATACTAATCTCCGCATCGTGCTGTGGTGTCATGATTGTCTGCAGGTTTCCATACCGAGGACATCAGCCCACGCAACGCGCCTCTTACGTGAATGGATTGGAGGCCATTAGCAGGCTCTCACTCCTGCTAGACGCGGAGGGAACACCTCACCGGCGACATTGTTATATATAAAAAGCTGATTACTCTGTACCGGGAACATTATCAGCGTGATGACCTGGAATTATGTTTGATGTGTTAGCAACGCATGGCACAGCATCCAATCAGAAGCCGGCTGTTGACAATCTGCGTCTTCTATGCACCTGAACGTGGATGCGATTGGTCGCCGCATGGCAAGTGTTAAATTCTCCTTTTTGCCTAGGGCAGGGGTGGGCAACCTCGGCACTTCAACTGTAGTGGGACTACAAGTCCCATGAGGCATTGAATGACTGACAGCCACAGGCATGACTCCCAGAGGCATGTTGGGATTTGTAGCTTCACCACAGCTGAGGGCCAGGGTTGCCTACCCCTGTTCTAGAGGCCTCTGCCCCTGGCAGCCATGCCTGTGGATGTCAGAGTCTTGCAATGCCTCATAGGACTTGTAGTTCCACAACAGCTGAAGGGCCAAGGCTACCTATCCCTGGTCTACAGTAGAGGCCTCTGCCCCTGGGAGCCATGTCTGTGGATGTCAGAGTCTTGCAATGCCTCATGAGACTTGTAGTTCCACAACAGCTGAAGGGCCAAGGTTGCCAACCCCTTGTCTAGAGGCCTCTGCCTCTGGGAGTCATGTCTGTGGATGTCAGAGTCTTGCAGTGCTTCATGGGATTTGTAGTTCCACAACAGCTGAAGAGCCGAGGTTGCCAAACCCCGGCCTAGGGTATCATCAAAAAGCAATTCTGCCTAACTTACCCCTCACACCAGCCGCTGCTCTCCTCTTCCCTCCGATGCTCCGGGTTGTGGGCGGGCCCTTGACATCCACACTTACAATGCAAGTCTGCTGGTCCTGCGTTGTATGTGATGACATCAGAGTGCGACCAACAGAGGGAGAAGAGGCTTTGGGGGAGCGGTCACACGGAGAGGAGGAAGTCTGCAGAAGAGAGGGACAAGGTAAGTGAATAAGTGGTAAAATAAACCTATGTGCATCCACTGTGGGGGAATTAATATCCAAAGCTCACAGTAGAAGCAGTGAAGTGCGTTCTCAGCACTTTGCTCTCTCCCCTCTTCCTCTACACCTGCTCTCTGTTTACATTAGAGATGGGGGGGGGCTGCCAATTCACTGCTGGGAGGCGGAGCTGAGTATAGAGAGAAAGTTAAAGGGACAAGCTTCTACTGCATTACAGGATGAATTACTTCATAGTGCCTACAGCTACAGAGGTTATTTTAGGACCCAGTCACACCTGATTGATCTCTTTGTAATGCATCCAGCACATGCTGCATTGTTTTCGAAAGGGCCCCAGTGCAGGAGAATGCTTCGTAGCATTGGTGAGCTACGGTGTGATTCACTGTGACTGGCCTCCACCCCACCCTCCCTGCACACCTGAAACGCAGGGTAAAGCACAAAGAATACCGCTGGTCCATTTCTAGGTCCATTGTGCTATGTTTAATAGCCCATCCAAATGAATTGCTGCAAAACACATCGTCCCGAGCGCAGTAAACGCACCACAACAGACCTGAGTGGCGTGAACGTGCCGGCTTGGTAAGTACAGGTAACAGTGGATCCCCTCAGCCCAGTCACAGTTCTATATTAAAGGAGAACTATGAGGGGAGTGCTTGTCACTCACCTCATAGTTCTAGTCGACCTGACAATGAGACTGTCACAGGTATTTTCAAAGCTTAACTGAACAAACTGAAGATAGAGGCTGATTGGTTGCCGTGGGCAACTGCTCCAGATTCCGCCTGCTCCAGTTTTGATAAATTCCCCCCATTGAATGCCGAGGAGGATTTACAAGTCGGCTCTGCTGAGTGAAATACATGCGCTGCCATTCCTGAACATGCCGGTTGCCTTTAGTGGCTTCAGTACTTTTTGCATCATTAGGTCCCCATTCACAATACACCATGCAGGAGCGTGCGTTCATGCACGTATTTTGCCACATGTTGCCCAATAATTTCAGTGGGTGCTGCATACGTGACAAACGTAGGCAGCGTAGCTCATGCAGCATTTTCCCATGCGTTTGATGTGCGTCCATGCATACGGGGGAAAAAAACACATTTTACTGGCTGCGTTGCAGTGGCAATAACAAGTAATGGCAATGTAAGTGCAACGCACGTTTTGTACGTGTTGCGTGAACACACATCATAAGCATGCTTTGGTGCGTATTCACACCACGCAAAGGTATGAATGGGGACTCATACAGACAGGGGTGTCACGAGGCCTCCGTGTCGTCATGGCGCAAGCTTGAAACCTACCGGCTGCCATCTTGGTGATGGACGCCGGCAGAGAGAGGCGGGGGCGTTCACCCCGGCAGGATGAGGTATGCCGCCGGGTCCTCTCCTCTCTCCCGACACTGTGGGGGTCTCGGTCCATGACCGAATACCCGACTTTTTAGAGGGGGTGACACCACAATGACTGTCATGCTTGTTCCAGGTGAGTGAAGCGGCAATGGTGACATTTGTTCGGTGATCCCCTCCAGTGTTCTCTACAATTGTTACATTGTATCTCTAATATGTATTTATTTCCGAAGATCCTCAGCGCCATCTAGTGGCCATTGTCTGATATTTTACCCGATTCATACTATCATCTATAGCAGTGGTTCTCAACCTGTGTAACCCCGGGACCCACATGTTTCATTAAGGCGTGATCTTCCCCAGCTTCTGCACTGACAGAGGACAATATGACAGGGGACACTGATGGACATTATGTATTCTGAGCCCAGTCTGTGTAATAACATTGATTGTGTATTTAATGAACATACATTATGACAGGGGACAGTGATGGATATACATGATGGATATTATGTGGGCTTGGAATACATAATATCCATCAGTGTCCCCTGTCCTGCCACAGTGCACATCTCCCTATCTGCCTGCCTGCCTACCTTTCTCTGATTCCAGTCAGACTGAACTATCTGGACTGGAGAGTACAGTAGATACAGCGGCGGATTGATATCTACTGTACTCTCCAGTGCAGGCCGGGCCGGAACTATAACTTAATTGTCGGGAGCCGCGGCTCCTGATATTAATGCGCCCGCCCGAAAGTGAGGAAATAGTCCCCTCTCTCCCCGGGCCATACCACTTTATCTGAGAGCCCGGGGGAGGCCGGGAGAGAGGGGACAGTTTGACATTATGAGGTTCCCACAGGCTGAACCACAAATTCCCCCTCTAGTTCTCTCTAATGCATATGGGCCGGTCTATGCAGACATGACGCCGCGACCCACTGCAGAGGGTGTCACGACCCACGAGTTGAGAACCGATGATCTATAGCAGTGATGGCAAACCTTTTTGAGCCCGGGTGCCCAAACTGAATCACTAAACCAGCTTATGTGCCTCAAAGTGCCAATCCTGCAATTGGACCCGAATGAATACTGATGATTTATTTCAGAAAACACTTCATACGATTATCTGAACTAATTATGTGCTTCAATCTTAGAAGAAAAATACAATACAAGAGGTTTTATCTATGCTACAGAGTGACATGTACCTTTTGTACTGTGTACACATAATTCTATGCAGTAGGGATGCACCGATACCGGTACTAGTATCGCCTACTATGCATCGGTGCCGAGTAACCGCCCAAATGCTCTGAAACCTTCCCCGATACCGGAACTTCCGATCAGATGGAGATTTCCTCTGATCAAGAGTGCCACGAGGGAACATGGAGCCAGTTTCTTGGCCAATCAGGAAGCCGGGCGGCGGGTCATTACTGGCCGCCTCGCTTCTCGATTGGCTGGGAAGCCGCCTCCATGCTGTTTGGCTGGCTTGATGCTGATTGGCCAGGAAGCAGTCTTCCCTCTGACCGAAAGTATCAGGGAAGGCATCGGAGCATGTGGGAGAGTACGAGTACTCGCCCAAATCCTCGGTATCGGCACCAATACTAGTATCGTATTATCCCTAATAACGGTACATTTGTTTGCCCGGAGCGCTTCTTTAACAAATAAAAGCGTCAATCTGATGGTTCGCTGTAACATTTCCCATTTCTCTCCTTTACCACAGCAGTGTTGCATTCTGGGAACACCCCTCGTGTATTCGTAGAAGATCCTTTCACTGTATTGATCAGACACTCCTTCACTGTACAGCAAAATGACCCCATGGTGTGCAATCTCATTTAAAGTGTATTTACACCCAGGGCCGGATTTACTCTCCCTGCCGCCCCAAGGCTAGGTTCCGCAATGCACCCTCCCCCCCCAAACGGATGGCAGGGTTAGTTTTATTTATTTTTTTACTTTATCACTTTTTTATTTTACATTTTTAGCTTATCGTTTATTTTTTGGATCTTATTATTTTTTATAATTATTTTCTTATTGTTTCATATTTTTTTTCTTATTATTTTTTACTTTTTAAAATCACCTTTTTATTTTATTTCTTTTTTATTGAGAAAAAAAATTAATGATTAAATTATGATTATTATTTTAATGATTTATTTTTTTTTAAAAAATTTCACTTAACTTTATTGCTATCACACAGGAGCTAACAAGCCCCTGTGTGATAGCCTTTGGAGGTGACAGGTTCTCTTTATTGACCCCGTCACCTCCAATACGGGAGTTCCAGCACAGCACTGTGCTGGAACTCCTGTGACAGCTGAGATGGGAAGAGCACAGCTCTCCCCTCTCACTGTGTACACAGAGCAGCATGGCCAGTGAGGAGAGACTCGGCGCCCGGGGGGAGGGCGGAACCAGAGGGGAGAGGTAGGTGCGGGGGGAGATGTGTCGACGGACAGACTGCACACATTTGTTTGTGGCAACATCGCCGCAATCACTTGTAAAACGAACAAGCGGCTTTCCCACACTACATTTAGTCCTGCCTTCCCAAAGCAGGACTAAATGTAGAAGGCAACTTACCACCCGGCGCCCAGAACTACATGTTCTGGGCGTCGGGGGATTCCACACCGCTGCCGCCCCTCTGCTCCCTGCCGCCCCGAGCCGTGGCTTTGTGGGGAATCGGGGCCTGTTTACACCTCTACAGCCCAACTTGCGGTAAGACCTTCTGTACATGTGTTACATGTTCCCATCCACATCGCATAAAACTTAAAAAAAAATCATAAAACCTGCTGTTTCCATTTTACTTGCTGACATAGAAGGGGAAAGCTACATAG